TCCGGCTTTCTATGGGTTGCCGGAGCAAGACTTTTTTGGACTGGGAAAGCTTTGTGCACCAGCACCTTATATACCATTCGATAGATAAGAACGCGAGGAATCGACGTAGACCGTCTCTTTTTTCGTAGCTTCTCTGTGAAGCGAGATACGAGCAGTTTTATCTAGCTACAATATCAGCCAATTTTGGGTAATTATATTTTCCAACCAAGAAGGTCTTTTTCGAACTTTTATATATGAATCGAAAGCATGAAAAACGAGTAATCTGACTGTTGTTTTGTTTGTTATTATTCTCTTTAGTGAAAAGAGATATGGTATGATTTTTTGTCAGCAAACATGCATCCATCGCTAGTCGGTTCAGATTTTTTTACTCTTGCTCAACTCTTTTTTGCAAAGCATGTATTCATTGACACAATGTTAATTGTTCAAAAAATCACCTTTTACTTTTTGATTGCGCTTCGTTATCAACGCCCTTTGAGCGCGGAGAAGGTCTCAAGAATGTTTTTTTAACAAAATGTTGTTGATTCGATACTCTCTTGCAGTCTTGATGTCTGAGGAGAAGAGCAGGTGGCGTTTCTGTCCAAACGAAAGTTCCTTTGTAATAGCTGTTTGCCTTGATTAGTCTCAACCTCAGGTGAAAGGGGTCAGCCAGATGCCGGCCCTAAAGTGAAGGGGGTCAGAGAAATTTCTCCACCTATCGCATCTATGTTCCGAATAGAAAATTCCATTTCTTAACCGATCCGGACCAAACTTGGCACACATACACTTCGGGCCCCGACGGGTGTCACAGGCTACTTTTCGTTATCGACCGATATCGATTTTATCGATTTTTTGCAAAATTTGAGCTATGAGGCTGGGAGTTGGCACAGGGGGGGGGGTAATCGAGCATGCTGATCACCCCTGTGGGGGTTAAGAAATGGAATTTTCTATTCGGAACATACGGCGGAGCCGGGTAAGCCAGCTAGTCTGCTATAAACATGTCAACTCTGGCAATTTTTAGCTTGCAAGAGAGTTTATTGCAAAAAAGTCAATCGACATGCCAGCCAGCACTATTCTATGGTAAAGAACGCGGAAAATCAATAAATCAATGAGACCAATCAGTAAATTTTTGCCAGAAATAGCTTATTTACATACGCCTCGCTCGGTATCTATGTATGCGAGTTTTGGCAATCCCTCAATTCTTTCTATCATTTCAGGCTTCCAAAAAAAGTCTATAAATACTATCTACAGTCTGTCCCAAACAGGACCAGACAGAACGGCTAGCGTAATTTTGAACAAGGAATGCCTTTTTACGAAATGGCCATCCAAGATGAAATATGTACATGTTGTGATTAATTCAGTGGTTAAGTTGATCTTCAAACTGCAATTCTCATCTGCGAAATGCTTTTTTTATACAAAAGTTTGACTGTTAAAGGCAGTGTCCGGGCAAGATGGGGGTTATGGGATTTCAGTGCCATGCGAGAGTGGCCCCCATCAAACACAACATCGCCAAGTGCAACGTCATAACACTCGACCTAAAGCAAGAAAAACGACCGGAAGTGGGGAAACTACGCCTTGGGGCGGGGTCCTCCGAGCTGTCCGAATTCCTGCTAGGCGGCAGAGTACGCATGCCGCCACAGTCAAAATGTAGGGTGATCAGGGGGTGATCAGCATGCTCGATTACACCCCCTTGCCAAATTCCAGCCCCCTAGCAACTCCTAGCCCTAGGTGAACTCAGCAAAAAAATCTATAAAAATCGATAAAATCGATATCGATCGATGACGAAAAGTGGCCTATGACACCCGCCGGGGCCCGATGTGTATGTGTGCCAAGTTTGGTCCGGATCGGTTTAGAAATGGAATTTTCTATTCGGAACATACGTACACACAGACATACAGACATACAGACAAACAGACATTCAGCTTTATATATAAGATGATGCATACTTTGAATTTTATCTCCATGGAAGTAGGCATGGCAGGCTGGGATAGCCATGTTTCAGTTTGTATCGAAGGGGACACCATATATAATTCGGGAAAAATCCAGGGGCTCCGTCTGTGGGAGCCCATCTATGAAACTTCCCGGACGTTTTTTTTAGTTCTGGCCAAGCGATTTTTCTTCTTTTTCCCCTCTCAATTTTCCCCCTCTCTCTATCACTGCAACGCGTGTGATAGTTACCCGGTGAACATCTGGACTTGGTTAGGGGGCTGGAAACTTCTAGAAAAGGGGTAATTGAGGTTAAAAAACGCAATTTTTTCGCTTAATTTCTTCTTATTTTTCCTTATTTTTCTTGATTTTGATGGTGGTGAGAAGTAGAAAGTGGGCCGAGCTTGTTTGGAAGATGTGTAGCTGTATAAAAACGCTGAAAATGAGCTTATTCTACAGTTTTTCGATCTCTTCGCTCAATTTTCCGCCCATTTTGCTCGGTTGGGGTGCACGTGGGCGGTGTCAAGAGCGAAGGGGCGGAGCTTCAGAAGGTGTTTTGAGTGAAATGATTGATTGGTGGATAAGCGGCTTTGCAGTGGTTGACGGGGCGATGGTAGTGCTAACAATGGGTATGTGGCTGTTGAGGGAAAGATGGGCGGGACTTGTAATTGAGTGGGCGGAGTCTTGGGAAGTGGGCGAAGCCTTAGAAGGTGGGTGGAGCCTTGGGGTTCGAAATTAAGGGTGTGAATCTCAAAACTTGGCAATCGAAATCGAAATTTTTGAGGTTGCGAAATCTTCAAAACTTTCAAGTCTTCGATTTTATCGATTTTAGATGCTCCGCAACCTCCAGAATGTTCATGGATTTTTGGTTGAGAACTATAAGCCTCGCCCACTTGCGTTGTCGCTATATACCCAATATATGGGTGAAAAGTCATTTAGTTTTGATCTGAGGTCTTCAATTATATTCTGCGAACGGGATTTTGTTAGGGCGCAACCCAAGAGTCAATATAGATAGAAAGCTAAGATAAACATTATTCGATACAACAAATTCGCGAGTTTTTTAGCAGCTAAACATGGTGCAAAGTATCTTTTGAAGGAAGGCGAAAATGGCTAGCAAATTTATTAAAATCAATATTTACCTGAAATTTAGCCATCGTTAACCCTACAGAATGAAGCTATCACGGGGAGCAGACGTGTTTTTTGTAATCAGCAGGTCGGATAACCTCTATGGTCAATTTTTCTAGTAAAATAACGCCTTGACCTCGCCACTGGTTTTGGCTGAAATATTGAAAATTTGAATCGACCCGGAACTCCACTCACAGTAGTTTTCAAACCCACTGTTTACGAAAATCCTAGTTATTTCGCGCTTAAGAGTTTTACAGTGAAGTTTCAAATGGAAAAAAAATTTTATTAAAACGCGCAAGGTTGAAGATTCGTTGGCACTTCTCGCCCGTCTGTCAAAAAATTTGCCTGCGTTTTTTTCAAAGTGGAATCTCTGTAAAAAACGCTATCAGGTCGTGATTAGAACAGGCCCCTGTCTGCACTGTTTGTCAAATAATGAGGTTACAAACTCATGTTCTCGTGAATTTTTTCCCAAATTTGAGAATCTTGTATTTTATCGGATTCTCGTCCCCAAAATGTGCCAACAGTAGCAAAAAATTGTTGTCAGCACATTGAGTAATCCATTTGAGCGGAAATTTGAAGATTAGCATCATACATGCAGTCAAACAGTTACGACTTTGGAATGTGAAAATTCTCGGCGATGTCGGCGATGTCGGTGACTTTGCCTTTTTCGCCGAATTTAGCGAATTCGCCGACATTGCCGAATTCGCCAAGAATTTTCACGTTCCACTATCACAACTGTATAGAGTATGCCCTGTCAATACACTGTGATAGAAATTAATACTCTGTGCCTGCTGGTCTAACATATTGGCAGCATTAACATGTTCGCAACATAAACAACATGCCCCCATTGTCAGCACTTTTTGGCAGTTGGCTTTGATGTTCAACATGTTGGTGCATGTTGTCAGCATGCTAGTGATTTGGGTGCAGGTCAGAGGCGCAGATCAAGGGGTAGTCAACTGTGAAGGTGATGATTTTCAAATAAACAAATTTTCAAAGTTCTCCTACACAAGAAATTTTGCATTAATCTGATTCTCAGGATATGTTCCATCAAATTTTACATTGTTCCGGAATAATTAGCTGTGCCGTCCCTGTGAACCATCCCATGCTGAGCGGTGCCACAATACTACCGACAAGACCAAGTGACAAGGACCTGTTCTGTAGACTGCGCGACAATGTTAGAACCAACGTCACTGGAGCTGACCCCTATGATTCTGCTCACTTTCGTTCAACAATATGAAAAAGCATGAAAACAACAGACAAGGATCCAAACGATGTTTCAAAGCTAAAATAAAAACCACAAACATCTTCACGCCACATTCTGCGCTCCACAAAATGCATATGCTTGTGAATAGCTGTAAGCTTCTCAATATGACAGTCTTTAAACAACAAGCACTGCGATTTTTACTAGGCGTTTCTATGAAATAAAAAAGTGATAACAGGATTACTAGATATAAAAAAGACTAGTACAAATCCTTTAGGCATCAGTGCACATACAGTATGTAAAAGTTACCTTCGTTTGTGTAGGCTCTCGCCCTCCTCTGTATAATAGGATTGATAAACGATTCTTGGATTTTCTACGCTCCGACCAGCTTTAGCATATCGGCAAAACGCCTCCAATCAACACTTCTCACGTCAATTCAATTGCTCTCATCAATTGTATAAGACCACAGATACCATACCGTATGTGACGATAGGCAGATGCTGCCCAGCTACTAGCAAAGTAAACAATGCGATCTGCTACAAATTGCCATTTTGTTTAGAGCTGCAGTAAGTATGCGACAAGTTACAAATAGTGAAAAAGCTTTTTCTTATAATTCGTACGGCTTCAAACCTCTCAACGCTTACGCCAATTTTGTTGAATTGCTCCTAAGCTCGTTTCTTATAAGAGTAGAGTTGCAATTGTTAACCGCATAGGTTTTGTTAATGCAGTGTATCGCAGATATTCTAAATTATATTTTCAAAGAACATTTCAGAGACATTATATGGACAGCAAAAGGACCAGCTACCTACGCAGAAGTGGATCGTAACGTTTTCTGTCCAAACAACTTCAAGATTGTTGAATACAACTATCCTATTCCGAAACTGGACTTTATACACAGACCCTCTTGTGCAAAGGTATTTCTAAAGCCTCTTTGTTTTGAGAGTCATCATAAAAGTATGGCCAATTATGGGCCATTCTTAATCATGATTAGCTGCACGAGTTGCTATCATAATTCGTATCTGTTACGCTGATCTATTTAAAGATATAAACCCACTCAGACAGCGGATCGAACCCCTCCGGCGGAGAAATGTCAGGGCCGCGGGGTTTCCCCAGCGGTGGGTCTGCCACTCGTGCGCCGGAGCCCTCCCTTTCTGCTCCGGAGACCTCCCGTTTCTGCTCCGGAGCCCTCCCATTTTGTGTTCCGGAGGCCTCCCATTTTGTGCTCCGGAGACCTCTCATTTTGTGCTCCGCAAGTCTGCCGCGGCATACTGTAATTAGCCCTAATTAAGCTCCAAACCCCAATTTTGTCTCTAAACCCACCCAAATTAGCCGAATAGGACCCCCCCCCCCCCCCAGGTAGGAGTACAGCGCTACCCTCACCCCCGTACTCTACCCCCTCCCTCTCATCCCTAGCGTTTGTGGATAGAAGATAGAAGAATGAAGAAACAAGACATTTATTTCAAATTAACTACAAAGAATCTCCTGCGAATTGCAACATTTTATGGTATTATTTTGCGATTGAGAGAATGTGCAAAGCTTGATGATTGACCTGTAGGAGTAAGAGCATTTCTGAGCCTCTCGATCACTCCACATCCCGAAATACTTTAGCAGGGCACGGCGATCTAATGGCTTCATCACATGCAAGGCTATGACATCAGATCTCTCCCCTAAATGCAAAAACTTTCATTTCACAGAAACATGAAAGTCTACCGCTCGTACCACGTTTGCTAGCTTCTTTCAAGTACTCGAGACCATCTTGTACAATCACACGGTGATTTTTTTCTTCAATAACGCCAAACCATTTCTTTGCTGTTTCAACAACAACTGAATCTAACTCAATAGCAGCTATGTTAACCTAAAGTATGAGGAATGATGACACGATTATGACGCGATCTTATAAGGAAAAATAGGTTTCCAAATACACAATGAGAGGCAGAAACAGCAAGGATGAGAGCTCTGGTCGACTCGCCTTTGGTTTGAGCTTATGTAAAAACATATCAAAACTTCCGCCACCCAATCCAATTTCTAGCACTGTCTTGCCCACATCCGATAATCAGTAGAAAAGGCTGACACTAGGAAGGGACTAGCATACCAGCAACCTAAAATAGAGGAACATTGGAGGTGAGAAGCAACAATTCCTTCCATTAGTGCCAATGGTCTTGATTGAATGCGCAAGAATTAGTTAACAGAGTAAGTCCTGCCCGAAAGAGTGTTACAAAGAGTTAGCCTTGAGATTTTCACTTGTTAGTTGTGGGCGAACTCAGGTTTGGTGATGGCAATCAAAAGCCCTGCAAAAAATGTGATGATGACGTGAACATCGTCAAGTATTCCTGCGCTCATCTGCAAGAACAGACAACTACAGGGCCTCTGCAAATTCAACCGACTACAAGAACTTCAAAATTGTATATAATGACGCTTTATAATGACAAAAAATCATCCAAAAACTTCGGTAATCTTAATGAACGTCTTCTCGACTAGATAACCCTCACGGGAAAAAGAATAGGCACAAGAAGACGCCTTGTTCCAGACCGGTCAAAAATGACACGCACAACCAACTTCGCAGCCTACCTTTTAACAGATTATTTTGATTACTCAGCTCTAAACGCTCACATATTGAGATCGAATGTCGAGATGGTCTATTTGCCAAATCCTTGTATCGGAATCGTCGAAGAGTTCGCCTACAAATTCAAGGATGGTTTGACAAAAGGAAACGTTTTGATGCGAACGTGAGGGTGATCAAAGCTGGTACATCTTACAGAGAGCAGGAAAACAGATGAAGCATCAGAGTACCATGAAGCTAGGTAAGGCTTTGGCCATACTTTATCCGTGTTATCAGTGTTACTCGTGTTACTGATGTTACTAGTGTTACCGCTTTTATGCTGTTAAATAGTGAAATGATTACAATACAGTCTCATTTCAAAATGCAATATCACTGACTGGTGAGCAACACGAGTAATACCAGTAACATTAGTAACACGGGTAACAGTAACACGAGTAACACTTGTAACACCGGTAACGGGTAAAGTACCGAAAACCAAGTGCCAATCAATCAACGCAAACTTCCCACTACAGAGGACTGCTAGTAGCGGTTAAGAAAGAGGACTGAGGTCACTGTGGGGATAACTGTGAGAAGCCTTGGATACCAGAGCCTGGAACAATTCCCTGATTTATTATGGACAAGAAATTCAACTCCAAACTATTGCCAGCGCTCCGCTCAAAAAATAGCGAGTTGAGGGGAGAAAGTAAATAAAAAATTCAGGTGAATTACCGCACGCAACGGACTCCGCCTCAAATTTTAAGCCCAGGTACTCAGATTTTGCACACTGAACTGACACACAATTTGCGCACTGAAGCAGAGCAACTAAATGATGAAAGCCAACCTTATCTCTTGGAGCTATCAGTCGCACAGCGGTATCAGAATCTTCTGCGAACCCCTCCACGAACAGCTGACGCTCGACCACCTCTACAGTGCCTCTGAATCGCTAGTTTTTTGTATGTCCATGCTTGTTTGTTTTGTCATAAAGCGAATGTACCAAACCAATTTTTCTTTACTCAAAGTAGCTGCTATATTGTTGCAGCCCTGCAACAAACGGCCAGATAGCATCAAAACAAATCGCCTTCAGAAATTGGTAAAACTGACTAAATCATCCCCTGATGACTTTGATGACCAAAAAACTAGGAAGAGAATAATACTGATTCTGCCAAAAAAGCACATTAACGGTAAAGTTATTGAAAGTATGCACACAAGTTGAGGGATAGTACCATGATGCTACAGCCACTGTCAATAAAATCGCATGTAGTAGTTCTGATACACCGCTTGAACAATACGAAGAGGCTCACTCTTTGCTGAGTTTTCTATCGAAGATATTGTAGCATCGAGCTGTTGTTTTTGTCATCTTAAAAATTCTACACGTTTACCATGAATCTTGGAAGATACGTAGCAGATTAGGTAATGAATGACGCCGACTCTGAGCGCACACTTGAACAGGCAATCCGCCGTGGAGCTCAAGCATGAACAAGTGCGAAACGAAAAAAGTAGACTCACTCGGATTATATACTTTTTGTTTCGAAAATCCAGAATTAATCACAAAAACCACTCCATCAATGGTCAACGATGTCTCAGCAAGTCGAAAAGAGCCAAGCACTAGAAGTGACTAAGTGCATCCGCACGAAAATTTGAAACATAAACCTGAAAACGAGGAACTTACAACAACATAAAAGCCAACGCGACAAAGAGCAACGCGTAAAAGAAAAAAAACGGTAAAGAAACGCGGAGAAACAACAAAATCAAAGAAACAACGACTAAAATGCGAAGAAAGAGCGTAAACAGAGGACTCATCACCAGAGTTGAGAAAGAGGTCAGGCACAAGTCTTTCGAAAACAACCCCCCCCCTCCCATGAAAGCCCTCAAACGACCCCTTCTTCCTCCTCTTAACCTATGGACCTCAAAGTGTGGCATTCTGGAGGACACCAGCTTTTTCTAGAGAGTTTTCAGATTTCTGAGAGCTGTACGCCCGATTTTCTGTGACTGCACTTTACAATCACACGTAATTTGACGGCTGATTTTGATCTGAATGGGCATATTGAAAGGGCCATAATTTTCTTATGGGTTGGGCGTTCGGCTCCAAATTTCCAGTGTAGCAAGAAGAAGCTATGTGCTCAATAATCATACCGGCAATGGAGCGCTTCCTGGCTTTTGAAGGCAAGTTAAGGGGGTGCGGCATACCCCCTTAAAAGCTGCGGCAGCCGCAGCTTTTAAGGAAGTGTGCCGCACCCCATTAACTATATCAAAAAAACATTTTTAGCGAACAGTATTTATATGAATCGATAGCCTAAGCCTTGTAGATTCCATAGGACTGTTTGGAGCCTGATTCGTCTTCTTAGTTCTGAGTAATATCTGGTGAAAGTACAGCGATCAAAAGCGAAAAGTAGGAAAAACGAGATTTTGGTTGGCTTCTAGTTCCACAGTTTGCAGATCTTCTGGAGCGGGATTCCTGAGATGGACAAAGAAGGAGTAGTGCTTTGTCATGAGTGCAAAAACGGATGGCTAATTCACTTTTGAAACAAAGTTAACCATGTTGGAATTTGACCATTTCATTTAGGTAGCCTAGTATCTTGAATCTTCAGAATTCGCTCACACTTTGTTTACAGGGGTTAATTGACATGCTAATTATGGATATGATACAAATATCATGTTATCACTATTATCAGATTACCCAACTACGACCCCCTCCCCTTTTGACTCCTTAATACGACCCCCCAGGTGTGGCGTGCCGCACCTAACGCTTGACCCTGCTCATCACCGTGGAGTTAGACGTTTGCTTGGCTACGCGCCAAATCGATACGCAGCCTGCTCCGGGGCTCTCCCATTTGTGCTCCGGAGCCCTGCCATTTTCTGCTCCGGAAGTGTCCCATTTGTGCTCCGGAGACCTCCCATTTGTGCTCCGGACCCCTCCGATTTTCTGCCCCGCGGCTCTTCCAAATCTGGCGGACTCGCGGCGGGCAAATTTCTCCGGCGCGGCTCTGCCAAATCTGGCGTACCTCCGGAGCAGAAATGGCGTACCTTTGCAGCAGGGCCGGAGAAGGGTCCCACTCGCCTGCCATGTCACCGCGACCTACAAGAAGGGACCGCCCCATCGCCCCGCTCTCATTGGTCAACTGGGTCCGACGCGACTCTGGCAGATTTCGACTGTCCGGCGGAGGGGTCCGATCGATTGTCTGAGCATAGTAAACCCCTGTCAGGGCATCTCCTCTTAGGCGGACCTAAGTCGATTCTTGGGCCTCAGTCCAATCTTTTTCGACCTATCGATTTGGATGCTGATCGCGTTGTAGACTTAAAGGTTGCGCGTTCTCAAAGCAGATACAGAAACACCACTTGTGCAGATACGAATAAATGGGTAAATTACTGGATTGC